GGGAGGCAGAGGTTGCAAGTAAGCCAAGATCGCACCATTGCACTCCAGCCTGGGCCACAGAGCAAGACCCCTCTCAAAAAAAAAAAAAAAAAAAAAAAACCCAAAAACAACAACAACAAAAAGCTTTACTTCATCCAAGTATCATTTATTTACTTATTAATTATTAAAGAACAAAGTGATCTACAGGTAGGTTAATAAATATATCAGTATTCCTCATTGATTTACATGCCTTATTTTTACTCAAAATAACTGTTGAGCAGTTAATACCATGATACTCAAGAAATTCAAAATAGAAGTTACTTTTGTAAAATGTTTACATTGTATTATTTTTATAAGTCAGTTTTCATATAAGCGCCTTTATAATCTCCCTCACCAAAGTCAAAAAAAAGAGCTTATCTAAAAGAATATAAAAATACACTTACTTCCAGATTTACAAACAAGTGGAGTTATTTCATCTAGTGGGTGCAGCATGCTGAACATAGTGGGTAAAGGTTCTCTAGCAATAAACAAATAATCAATTAATTACCAATACAATATGAATATGTCTGTGCACAAATTTTGCACGTCTCTTGCAAAGAAGTGTCTTCTCCAGATTACACAAGCAACTAGAAACCTACTATCTCAAAAGGCAATCTTCTAAACTTTGTACATACTATTTTTCACATTCTCTTCTATTTCACTCCTAGAAATCTCTCCCCTTGGAATAATTCTATCAATGCACGAACAGAGGGAAATCAATATAGCCCAGGGAATTTCTGCAAACAGCAGTCATCACACTACAGAACAAATGGAGTCATGTACATAAAGCAGTCTTTTTTTATTCCTCTCTTACTGGCAGTGTTTCTTTGGCAGCTAAGAAAGAAATTTATTCTCCCACACCTGCTGATAAAGGAGTGCATTTTTTAAAAAAGGAAGAAAAAAACTACTTCAAGTAAATTTAAAGTCTGCTTTTTTTTTTTTTTTTTTTTTTTTTGAGACAGAGTCTCACTCTGTTGCCCAGGCTAGAGTGCAGGGGCATGATATCGGCTCACTGCAACCTCCACCTCCCAGGTTCAAGCGATTCTCTTGTCTCAGCCTCCCAAGTAGCTGGGATTACAGGCACACACCACCACGCCCAGCTAGCTTTTTGGATTTTTAGTAGAGACGGGGTTTCACCATGTTGGCCAGGCTTGTCTTGAACTCCTGACCTCAGGTGACCCACCTGCCTCGGCC